GGGAAGAAATGGATGGAGATTCACCATCTAAGTTGACACTTCAAATCTCTCATGTTTTGAAAGATATCAAGCCCATTAAGCCACACGTTGCAGAAATCTATACTGGAGCTCTAAGAGGTTCAGTTAAATTGCAAATCCAATACAGCCGGGATGTGATAGAATTTGTTGAAGGTTTTGTTCATTTCATCTTCAAGGATTTGTTGAAGTTATCAGACGGTGAGGCATGTTCTTTGATGCTTCCTCTTAAAAAGGATCAAATCAAAAGCCTTGCCGAAGCATCAAAGCAATTGGTAACTTTGCTCATTTGTCCACCAGAAGATTTATATGTTATCCAGGAAAAAATGAGTGACAAACTTACTTGCATTGAAGGTCTGATTGCTGAGGTAGTATCTGCTGCTTTCTCTTTCTCCGTTGACAAAGCAGCAGAAGTTAACTCGGTATTCAGTGACTTGTTAAAAAAGATTGAACATGTCATGGAAGATCTAAAAGATGTGATTCTGAAAGATGTAGTGTCATCAAAATGTAATTTTCCTAGGACAAATGGATTGGGGTTTATCGATTATCTCTTACGCTATCTGAAAGAGCTGCTGCAAGACGGAAAGTGTGATTCTGTTGTCAAGCATCTTATTGAAGAAGCTCAGGAAGAGTTATATCTCTTAAGATACTTCTTGAAGGAAGTTGAGAAGAAAAAACATGAGTTTGAGGAGGTGAAGAAACATGATCTATGGACAGAAGTCATATCTCTAGCATACCAGGCAGAATGCATAATTGATTGCCTGGTTACCGGAGATTATCCTGTTTGGTATCTACATTTGTTATGTAAGATCACAACAGAAACTAAGGTTGTAAGGGATCATTTGAAAGAGTTCCATGCTACGATTATGCGAGAAGCTGAAGTCCCTATTGAAGGACAAGGACCAAATCCTGTCAGACAAGTAGTTGAGACTACACAACTTGATGAGGTAATGGTGGGTTTTAAGGACGAGATTGACTTGCTAATCGACCGGCTCACTAGAGGACCAAAGGACTTGGATATTGTGTCTATTGTAGGGATGCCTGGTCTTGGAAAAATTACACTAGCAAAGAAAGCTTTTCATGATGAGAAAATGCGGCATCATTTCGATGTCAAAGCTAAGTGTTGTGTTTCCCAAGCTTATGACAGGAGAAAGTTGCTGCTTGAAATTTTGAATCAAGTTAAAAGTTCCAATCAACAGAATGAGTCAAATCCAGCAGATGCTTTGCAGAAATTCTTAAAAAGGAAGAGGTACCTTCTCTACATTGATGACATTTGGAGTGTTGACACATGGGATGACTTGAGAGGATGCTTCCCGGATGATAATAACGGAAGCAGGATTTTATTAACTAGCAGACTCAGCAATGTGGCTTCAGAAATTAACCCTGATAGAGCACCTCTTCACCTTCGTTTCCTTGACGAAAATGAAAGTTGGGAACTAATGAGAATCAAGCTGTTCAAGGAACAAACTTGCCCACCAGACCTATCAAAAGTAGGAGCAAACATCGCGAGTAAGTGTAAAGGACTACCTCTCCTTGTGATTTTGGTTGCTGGAGTTTTGTCTGGGATAAGCAAAAATGAGGAAAGTTGGAGAAGAATCGCAGAAAGTATAAAGTTAGATACTGTTACTAGTGCAAAAGAGTGCATGGAGGTTATAGAACTGAGCTACAAGCACTTGCCTGATCATCTCAAACCCTGCCTTCTATATTTTGCATCATTTCAGGAGGATGAAGAAATTCCACTCTCAAACTTGGAGTGGTTATGGACTATTGAGGGATTGGTGCCAAACATAGAGGTAGAAAGTATACACCTTGCTGTAGAAAGTTTACTGAATGATCTCATTGGTAGAAGCTTGATAATGGTGAGCAAGAGAAAGTCCACTGGAGGAGTCAGAACATGCCACATTCATGATATGTTACATGATTTTTGCGTGACAAAGTCTAAGGAAGAGAAGTTTATGCAACTAACAAGCACCGGGAAGACTGATTTGTCTAGTTCCTTTTATGAGCACCGGAGACTTTGCATTCATCATAGCCTTTATTGGGCAGGGAAGATTGGAAACCTGCAAGTTCGATCTGCATTCTTCAGACCCCCGAAATCTGGCTGCCAGGAATTTCTTGATCATGAGAACTTTAAGCTATTAAGAGTACTACAAATGGAATGTCCTATGTCGGACAGTTCATTCCAGAGATCAAAAGAGCTGATCCATTTGAAGTACTTAGGAATCAAAGGCTATATGGTATCTATGCCATTATGGATATCGAACCTTTCAAACCTAGAGGTATTGCTTGTAATAACAGTAGGCAGTGGCACAATTTTACCGATGACCATCTGGAATATGCCAAGGCTAAAGCATGTACATGTTGAACCTGTTGCATCTTTTGATGGACGCATTCCTCAGACATCGACAAACATATGTTGCATCGAGACCTTGGCCACAGTGTCTCTCACTAATGAGCTAGTAGACTACATGGTCAAGAAGGCAAGCAGACTGCGAAAGCTCAAATGCCACTGTAAAGAGCCTCTCAAACTCAAATTAGATGCTCTTCAACTTGAAACACTCTGTGTAAACGGTAAGATTTTGAATTTCACCTTGCCCGCGACACTAACAAAGCTAACTCTATCAGATGTTTTGTTGCCACAAAGTGAACTGTCTAATATCGGAAGATTACCAAATTTAGTGGTTCTCAAGTTGGAACATAGAGCATTTCAACAGGAAAAATGGGACATTGAAGATGAAGAGTTTCTGACCCTCAAGGTTCTTAAATTGAGATCCCTTAAAATAACAACATGGAATGCCTCAGATGAGTCCTTACCCAATCTCGAACACCTTCTTGTAGAAAACTGCTTTAATCTTCAAGAAATTCCTTCTATGGTTGGAGATATTCTTACTCTAAAGATGGTTGAAGTGAAACGATGTGGCGAGTCTCTTGAAAAATCAGTCAAGGACATTCAAGAAGTGCAAGAAGGAAATGTAAATGCAGAGCTCAAAGTCCTTATTTACCCCTTGCATATAAAAAGCTGCAACACTGGTACTTTAACAGGTAACTGACTCAAGATTAATTGCATCATCTTTTGAGCTTGTACACTTTTACCTGTTAAATCTTTCGTAAAATATATTTGAGAAGTGTTTCTTTGCTGTGCAGAAATAGAAGATTGCGATTGAAAGAGGGAATCTAATGGACCAGTTTTTCTCTTAAGCTGTTTCCTTTATTCATTATGCATAATAATCATATCCAGCTAGATGGATAATTTTCTTGTTTTTGAGTTTTGTGTGTACTTCAAAATAATTTCTTTCATGAATCCATTGCATTGACATATGAACTTTATATGATATTCTGTATGCTTTCACATTAACACTTTGTTTGGATGGTTGTTACACATTGTATTGTATTGTTAAATTAAATACAATACTTGTGCTGATTGTTACTTAAATTTTATTGTATTGTATCATTTAGATCCATAGTTACCACGAAATGTCTCATTTCATGTAACGACCGATTTGGTGTGATCGGGTAGTAGTTTGTTTTTGGGTTGTTTGGAGGTACTAGTGGTCACTGGTCCGGTGATGATGATTTCAGTTTTATGAATTATTGATTCGGTATTTGGTTTCCGAATTATGTCAATCTCTAAAGTAAATTAATTTAAATAATATTGAAATGTTTGAATATTAAAAATTTATTTCTACTGTAGACCCCTTATTGAAATTTTGTTTCAGAGAATCTAAAGATTTGAGCCCTTAGGTTCTGATACCACGAAAACAAGAGAAGTTATATAGAATTTCTTATCTACCCCCCTCACTCTTATTTATATGCCACAATTTTAGATTTCACGTTTAGGTGAATTGACTGGTGTACCCTTATTTAGTGATCTCTTGAAGTCAAGTTTCAATAAATGAATATAAATTAATTTAGTTTGATTAATTAAATTGATCAATGAAATATGATTTAATTATTTAGTTTTCCTATTTTGGTCATATTCATACTTTCAAGGCTAATAACTTTTAAAGGTAAAAATAAAAAGAATCGTTTTATTTATGTATTGGTTTTGTGAAATGTAAAATATTAAAGATTATCTATCCTTAGAAAAGGACGACATATAAATAGAAACGGAGGGAGTATTACTCAAAGAATACAAAGATATAAATACATGAGAATAGTCAAATTATGGTAATTAAATATTCAAATTCCCACAAATCAACTATAGTATCATCTATACATTATTCTGTAACAAAACTTAATTAAAGATACAATATACGGTTTATAAGTCACATTCGTCGAACATTAGTAATATTTTTCTGGAGTTTTTCCTCAAGAAGTTTGACAATTGAGGAAGGTAAAGAGGAAGGGGGAGAGCTTTCATTGGTATTAGTGTCAAGCACATAAAATATTTTGTTATGAGAATGTATCACATGAAGTATTCCAGGAAATAAAATGGCTTTTAGTTCCATTTCTTGCTGAGGCAATATCAATGACCATGCTGATGTCAAAGTGTCTGGTGGTAGTTCTTTAAGAAGATTCCTCAACAGATTAATCATACACTTTGTTGTTTCTTCTGTAGCAAGATGTTTTCCACCACATAGAATCTTAAAAAGCGAAATCGAAAAAAAATGTCTTCAGTTAATAGTTTGATTCAAAAATATGTCGTGAAACAACTGAACTCGGACATGCATCTATAGATTCTGATATGGAACTAACCTCTGCAAAAACTGACATAATTTTTGGTAGGTGTTCATAATTGGAACCCAAAAGTTCCCTATCTGACCTGCAATTGAGAAAATTTGATAAATCATTAAGGGGTCGTTTGGTTTGGAATAAGTTATCGTGACATCAACTATTTCGGGATCAAATAACTTATCACATCACTAAGGTATAAATGGTGGGATAAATAATCTTATGATTACATAATACTTCCAACTAAACGTGGGATAAAATAACCCTGCATTTTATGAAGATATAACATATTAGAGTTTGCAAACAAATCCAATACCTTTCAACCATGGAACATAGTTGACCATGAACATATTTGGCTTCAGCAAGGTCACCTTTTATAGGCAGGCAATTCAACCAAATGGGAATGACCTACACAAGGATTCAGAATCAGAAATTATAACAAGACTTAAACATTAGGGATTCTGAGAAGGACAAACCTGGGCTGATTCGATAAGTTCTCGATGAAACTGACATATTTTACCAAGTGTAGAAACAGCATTATCATATGCAAGTTGATTCTCAGGTTCACGAGCACGTAAATGCATTATCACTACATTGATCCGTGAAATAGCCTCTAAACATAAACGCGTAAGTTAAACGAATACACTTACTTGATTAGAAGTATCACATTCAACAATATTCATACCTCTAACATAAGGTTTGAAAACAGAACCATCATATTCTGCATAAAGCCCAAGTCCATATAGAGCATTCTGAACATAAAGTCATTGTGAGCAACCAACTTGAGTAACAGGAATGTAAACAATCACTATGATCCAAACCTGTCTAACTGATGGATTTTCATCGTTGCTTGCTTTCAGAAGCAGAGGTAGAAATACATAAGAAGTAAGTAATTTATCAGAGGTAGAAGTAAGCATTCTGAACATCAGAGTACCTAAGTTGGCATAAGAAGTAAGTAATTTATCAAAATGGTGACACCAGAAACTCATACAGACAAATTAAACTCACGTTAGAGCTGCTTCAGAGCACTCCTTCAAAAGACCATCAAAGATACCAAGTGATGTAGATTTCTCTTGAATTGTCATTTCTTTGTCCTTAACAGAAGTCGGAAACAATAAGATATGGTAGATATGAATAATAGTAAATAAACTAACGTCATGTCAGAATAATGTCAATGAACTTACCCACATCGGAATCAGACATAATGATAACTCGTCAAAGTAAGGCAAGAAAACAACCTTGAATGTTTCGATCAGTCTACATAATATGAAACCAGCCTGTGTTCAAGAATAACAGCATAACCAAAGTGAAAATGCTTGAATATATAAAGACAACAGTGAATCACTGTTTTAATATAGAACATACAAGGAAAAATATTTGATCTTGTCGATGTTTTTCCCCTCTCAGCAATTCAGCTTCCTCAGCATCAAAATCTTCTGTTTTTTCTCTCTCTGTTAGTTTTCTTTGGCTATTTGAACTCTCTGTAATGATATGCTTTATCTCATCCACAATCGGATGAAGCTGATCTTCATTGAGAAGTGGTCCACATATCTGAAACAATTCCAAGAACTTCATACCTAGCTCATAGTGAAACTCCGAAAACTTTGGATCAAAACAAATAAGCAGTGTTTAAAGATCACGAACCTGAAGGCACACTTGTAATGTATTCAACATAAGTACATATATCTTTGTTTCAGGCTCCTGCATGATATAGAAATCAAAGTGTTACTTTCTCATTATCTGAATTGAAGAAGCTTAATGTTAAAAGTAAACCTCATGCAAAGCTTCCACCAAATTCAGTATTATATTGTCCGAAAACTGCTTGAAATCCGAATGGCTTTCACCTGGAGCAATCCCTTTCTCATCAGCCAGTTTAGCAGATTGCAAAAGGTGCTGCATCGCTATAAACATTACAAATTAAAAAGTCTTGGCGGTGATCAGATAGTTATAAAAGACGGAGAAATTAACTATGTGAAATCCTGAGAAATCTCACCTTGAACTGTATAGATCCTGACCTCATTGAAATGGAATTTCAAAAGTGGAAATAAAATTGAAGCAGTCTGTATCATTTATCAAGCATTAGGCCATTGAAACCACTTGTTAAATTTTCAGCTCGCAATCAAAAGCACGGGTAGAAAAAAAGAAAAAGAGAGAAGTCCAAGTGTGACAACCTGGAAAATCCATGGGTAGAAGTCTTCCTTCAATTTGTAAGCAACCATGACTAGGATTTCACATGCTAAAGCTTTCTTCTTTAGGGAACTTTTTTTTATACATATCGTTGAATCGCCAACCTTGACTCTGTGTTTACTACAAGATGTGATAATGTACATAAAAAGGCGATCACTCAGAGCAATGATCTGACAAAAAGGCCAAACGTCATGACAAAAAAGGCGTACCTATTATCATCTGAATAAGTATGGTCTGAATCTGGAGATAATATGATTTTATCAGGTTCAAGTTGAGCACATTGAAACAAAAGGGGCATGACAACGCTGGTGCAAGGAAGAAAACCTTTCCCTATGCCCTCACAAAATCCACTAATAGCCTGCAATGAGATCAAGAAATATAGAGAGACCAATCTTGAAAGAATTTCTGACTGATTAGCATGTGGAAATTCTTTTTAATTTGGGTGGCGGAGAGATTTGAGACCTCTGTCTGCTCTGATATCATGTTGAATTGTGTGACCATCTCATCTAAAAGCTTAAGCTATTAGAGAGAACACATTTTTATTAGTTAACGATATTCTCAACAACACATACCTGTAGCTTGAAGATAGTATTTGCATCCTCATCATCCTCTTGTGATCCTTGTAATGATATAACTGCTTCCAAAATCTTATTGTGACATTATGACAACAACAGAAAAATAGAAAACAAATAAACAATAAGCTCTAAGTTGAGTGAGATGTATAGAATCCATTTGGTATAACTAGTGGAAGACCTGTTTTGGAAGTACCGAAGTTCCAGGTTTGTACGATGCCATGATCATCTCTAGATCTTTGCTTGGAAAATTTGCTTGTACCAAGGTAGCTTTCAAAAGTGGATTAATCAATTCGTAGGTGTTCCCAAAGCATTCCTGTTGAAGTAATGTTAATATACATATAGCCAGCATAAAAGTTGAAGCAGAATTACTAGGTAATACCTTAAAATGCTTAGCCAAAAGTTTGAGTACAGTTGACGCTGATTCTTGGACCTTTCATGTCAAAAACAAATATAAATCAGGCAAAGGCAAGATCTCAAGGGCATTCTTGTTTACTTCTTAAACGTGGAGGGTGCTTACCATTTGAGCAACTCTCTCACTCGTCTATTTGCTACTACTACTAAACACCTCATAATGCAGCTCAAGCACTGGACAATTTATGTGATGCACTTTCCTTTTAAAACTTGTCATTTTATAGTCACACAATATCTATTTAAGTTTCAAAAGCTTTTCTTTCTTCCCATCAATAGAGCATTGCATAAATTATGGTTGTTTCCCTTTATGTATTTGTAATATTTTTTTTTGGAAAATGAAATGTATTTGTAATATTGTATGTTCATTGTTCAGGAAAATATCTGGTTTCTCTTACACTTGGTTCTACAATACGTACCATCGCAACAGTATGTGACGACAGTTGAAGTAGTTTATTGTGTATTTCGTGTATGTAAAGTGTCAAATATTCAGGCGTGCCAACGCGAAGGAAGCCCCAGACCGCGAGTATGACCTTGAGCTATGAAAATATGAAGATGGTGAAGTTAGAGCAGGGATTAAATCTAATAAAATTAAAAGGTAAGCCCATCGAAAAGGTTCAGTAAGAAAATTTTGGTCATAGGACATACAGACCTGCACTTTTACACTGTCATCATCCATAGCTTTAGTTAATGCTGGCACTACTTGGTGATGACATTGTTCTTGAAAATGGGGACGCATGAAACGCAAAAACTCGTGAATTGCTTACAAGGAGGCGAATCTGACTCCAGGATGAGGATGTCCCATACAATCCAGAACCATTGTCACCACTAGATTCATATTCTTAATCATCACCTATTATAATGAAAGAAGAGATGAGAGCAAGCTAAGTACTTAATGTACAGAATAACAGAAGAAAAGTATAATAATCGAGATGACCTTCTACTATCCCAAGATCGTTAACTAATCATTTTAAATGCAATTCTTAGTAGTGTATCAATAAATACACACCTCAGAGCAGCCTTTAACAATCTGAGCAAGTGCATTGAGTGCTGCGCATGGCTTCTGCCACGAGTCGTCAGCCAAGTGAGCACGGAGCTGCTCAAAGGCAATAGGACCAACAGTCTTACCACCCAGCGCATTGGACAACCACCATAAACACATCTTGAGAAAAACTAAATCATCTTTGTTATCCCATTTATCATAAGGATCAGGCAAGAGAGGGTCATAAACCTCATCCTCTAACAAATTCAATAAAATTCCAAATTATTTTTCAGTAAACAATGGATACTTCTTGATCATGCCAGGGGTCTTCTCCTTGGCCTCAACCAATATCATCACGAATTCAACCGCCAAATGTCTCGTTTTCTTTTCATAACTCTCGCATTCGACTATATCAAACATGGAACCCACCACAACCACAAGCTGCATCCTGAAGAAGCTAGGCTCATTCTTGGCCAACTTGATTAAAATCTTGAACTCAGACTGAGCTGATGCCTCACATTTTTCTTCCAATGCCTCATTCAGCATGTCCATCATCGCAGCCAACAGATCCTGAAACCTCTCCCTATCTTTTGAACTCCCCACCCGTTGAATGAAGTTAATCATCGCCGTCAGGGCAGTGATCTTCACTTCTAGATTAACCAGGGAATCATTCAATGTGTTTAGGAACATAGGGTGTAATATATCAATGTAATCGACTAATACTTCACCGTCAATGTGTTGGATTAATTCAACAAACAAGTTTAAATTCTCTGTTAAATGGGAATTAGTACTGAAACATCTATACAAGATTGGTAATAATTCAGGCCAGTTGTTGTCAGGATGAAGTGCAGCAGCTAGCTGATCAGAGCCAAGAGACTTGGCTAGCTTAAGAGCTAATGAGTTAGGATCCTTCTGCTTCATCATTGACTTAGATTCCGACCTTTTCTCGACGAGATGAGAACTAACAACTGTAAATGGCTGTGAATCAGGCCCCAGAATTTCATCCATAATGCTAGTTCCGATAACAGATGATCACTAACACTCTATTTTTTTCCTCGCAGACTATTTTCTTATACAGTCAATGGTATACCTCATTCTGCTTTCTAATACGAACAATATCATGAGTGAAATCAATGACAAGAATAATATCTAACTTGCAAATGTCTTATTTGAATTTTCTTCGCCAATTAAATAATATTTGACAAAGTGGTGAAATTGGTAGCAGCAAATGAGGACTTTCTTATGTAATTCATGAGATATTTCAATGATCTAATTAATATGATACTGACTCTTGACCTACTTTTCTTTTTAGTAGGTTCAGACTTTCAATTACTTCCTCCGTTTTAATTTGTTTGACCTACTTTTCTTTTTAGTCTGTTTCAAAAAGAACGACCCTTTCTTTTTTTAGCGACTCTTTAACTTCAACTTTCCACACGACATGTTTAAGACCACAAGATTCAAAAGTCTTTTTCACTTTCTACAACTTCACGTCAAAATCAAAATAGGCCAAACAAATTGAAACAGAGGGAAAAAAAATCATTTCTTATCCATTACCAGTGGCCAGAATGAAACAATCAAACTGCATCATTTTATAGTCTTCATTTACCTGTAACTTTTAGTTTCATTATACTTTATATTAAGTAATCTCAAAAGTCTTCCATGATTAACACACATATAAAAGCAAGTCCACTTTAGTTGTTTTTGGTTAAAATTATGGAACAAATTGATGAACCTTAGATCACTGCTTTCTGCTCTGCCAAAGTTGTTAAAAAGGTATGTGATAAGACTTTTATAACAAACTTAATTTGTATTAATTCTTGCATCTTTTGCTACATAATTTTGAATGCAGACATAATGCAATCAGCTATTGTTATATATCAAAGAATGAAGTTTAAGAGTATAGCTTGTATTTGTATATTATCCAAAGAATACACTGATTTAAGTACACGTAAAGAAAAGGCTAACTAACGTAACTAGATATCTGAATCCCTAGAAATCATCTAGAATATTATATACAAGAAAACATATAGCTTTATCATGCCCAGCTTGTTACAAAGATGATCAACTCGAGTTCCATTCAATATTTTTGTGAACAGAATCAGCTAGTTGCTCTCCTCTCTTCACGTAGCCAGTGGAAATCATGTTTTCCTGAATCTTCTCACGAATAAAATAACAATCACCTGAATATGTTTAGTTTTTTCATGATACACCGGATTTGACGCAATATGAATAGCAGTTAGATTATGACACCAGAGTTTTGCTGGTGTAGATTTGGAGTATGCATTGTTTGTCCTAGAATGTGATTTGTTTATAATCTCTTTGATTGCAGAGCTGTCGACATATATCCACTCTGAGGAAATTCTGCTGGAAAACAAATGTCTGAAATAGAGAGGAGATTTCTTGGTACTTTTTTGTTTTGGGCAACTCAAAAAGGAAGGATTAAGGAGGGGAGATTGCGCGGACATGGAATGAAAGTCGGTGACACTGTTTCGGGACTAAGGGCAGACTTATCTTCTGCTGAAGTCAAAGAAGGTTATGAGTTTCTCCTTTCATTGGTTCCAGGGAGGTGGCCTTTATCAAATTTATGCAGCCCATTGTTTCAGAAATTCATTGAGTACATCCTTCAGAATGTGAAGGATCTTCTCATCAACAAGAAAGATTTCGATAGGTTTGTTCTTCTGAAGAAAGAGTTTCAAGTCCTTGAAGAAAGTCTACAATATCTCAAAACCTTCCTCAATTTCATAAAAGATGCAAGCATGGAGCTAGAGAAATCAAAGATTCTTTTTAATCATATAGAGGGCATCACTGTGAATGCTGCATACATATGTTACCTTTGTTATGTGGAAGAAATGGATGGAGATTCAGCATCTGAGTTGACACTTCAAATCTCTCATGTTTTGAAACATATCAAGCCCATTAAGCCACACGTTGCAGAAATCTATACTGGAGCTCTAAGAGGTTCAATTAAATTGCAAATCCAATACAACCGGGATGTGATAGAATTTGTTGATGATTTTGTTCATTTCATCTTCAAGGATTTGTTGGAGTTATCAAACTGTGAGGCATGTTCTTCGATGCTTCCTCTTAAAAAAGATCAAATCAAAAGCCTTGCCGAAGCATCAAAGCAATTGGTAACTTTGCTCATTTATCCACCTGAAGATCTATGTGTCAATCAGGGGAAATTGAGTGACATTCTTACATGCATTGAAGGTCTTATTGCTGAGGTAGCATCTGCTGCTTTCTCTTTCTCCGTTGACAAAGCAGCAGAAGTTAACTCGGTATTCAGTGACTTGTTAAAAAAGATTGAACATGTCATGGAAGATCTAAAAGATGTGATTCTGAAAGATCTAGTGTCATCAAAATGTAATTTTCCTAGGACAAATGGATTGGGGTTTATCGATTATCTCTTACGCTATCTGAAAGAGCTGCTGCAAGACGGAAAGTGTGATTCTGTTGTCAAGCATCTTATTGAAGAAGCTCAGGAAGAGTTATATCTCTTAAGATACTTCTTGAAGGAAGTTGAGAAGAAAAAACATGAGTTTGAGGAGGTGAAGAAACATGATCTATGGACAGAAGTCATATCTCTAGCATACCAGGCAGAATGCATAATTGATTGCCTGGTTACCGGAGATTATCCTGTTTGGTATCTACATTTGTTATGTAAGATCACAACAGAAACTAAGGTTGTAAGGGATCATTTGAAAGAGTTCCATGCTACGATTACGCGAGAAGTTGAAGTCCCTATTGAAGAACAAGGACCAAATCCTGTCAGACAAGTAGTTGAGACTACACAACTTGATGAGGTAATGGTGGGTTTTAACGACGAGACTGACTTGCTAATCGAACAGCTCACTATAGGACCAAAGTACTTGGATGTTGTGTCTATCGTAGGGATGCCTGGTCTTGGAAAAACTACACTAGCAAAGAAAGTTTTTCATGATGAGAAAATGCGGCGTCATTTTGACGTCCAAGCTATGTGTTGTGTTTCCCAAACTTATGACAGAAGAAAGTTGCTGCTCGGAATTTTGAATCAAGTCAAATGTTCTAACCAACAGAATGAGAAAAATCCAGCAGATGCTTTGCGGAAATTTCTGTTAAGAAAGAAGTACCTTCTCTACATTGATGACATATGGAGTGTTGAGCAGATGCTTACCGGATAATGGAAACGGAAGCAGGATTTTATTAACCAGCCGAAACATTGATGTGGCTTCCAACATTACACGTGAAAGAGAACCTCTTGAACTTCGTTTTCTTGACGAAAATGAAAGTTGGGAACTAATGAAAATCAAGCTGTTTAAGGAACAAACTTGCCCACCAGACCTATCAAAAGTAGGAGCAAACATCGCGAGTAAGTGTAAAGGACTACCTCTTCTTGTGATTTTGGTTGCTGGAGTTTTGTCTGGGATAAGCGAAAATGAGGAAAGTTGGAGAAGAGTTGCAGAGAGTATAAAGTTAGATACTGTTACAAGTGCAAAAGAGTGCATGGAGGTTATAGAACTGAGCTACAAGCACTTGCCAGATCATCTCAAACCCTGCCTTCTATATTTTGCATCATTTCAGGAGGATGAAGAAATTCCACTCTCAAACTTGGAGTGGTTATGGACTATCGAGGGATTGCTGCCAAACATAGGGCTTGATGCAGAAAGTTTACTGAATGATCTCATCGGTAGAAGCTTGATAATGGTGAGCAAGAGAAAGTCTACTGGAGGAGTCAGAACATGCCACATTCATGATATGTTACATGATTTTTGCGTGACAAAGTCTAAGGAAGAGAAGTTTATGCAACTAACAAGCACCGGGAAGATTGATTTGTCTAGTTCCTTTTATGAGCACCGGAGGCTTTGCATTCATCATAGCCTTTATTGGGCAGGGAAGATTGGAAACCTGCAAGTTCGGTCTGCATTCTTCAGACCCCCGAAATCTGGCTGCCAGGAATTTCTTGATCTTGAGAACTTTAAACTATTAAGAGTACTACAAATGGAATGTCCTATGTCGGACAGTTCATTCCAGAGATCAAAAGAGCTGATCCATTTGAATTACTTAGGAATCAAAGGCTATATGGTATCTGTGAGAAATATATACGAAAAATATTATTGAATTGTGTATCTAAATAGTTACATTGAGACCCTATTTATAGACACTACATTGGAATCCTTTTCCAACTAGGATTCCTATTCTTATTCCTATTCCTATTCCTATTCCTATTTCTATTCTAAGTAGGAAATACTTATTTCTATTCTAACACTCCCCCTCAAGCTGGTGCATACAAATCATATGTACCTAGCTTGTTACAGATGTGATTAATACGAGGACATGTGAGGGACTTGGTGAAGATATCTGCAAGCTGATCATTTGACTTCACAAATTTCGTAACAATATCTCCCGAGAGTATCTTTTCTCTGACAAAGTGACAGTCAATCTCAATGTGCTTAGTCCTTTCATGAAACACTAGATTTGATGCGATATGAGGAGCCGCTTGATTATCACACACAAGTTCCATCTGATCAACTTTGCCAAATTTTAGTTCTCCCAGCAACTGTTTGATCCAAACTAGCTCACAAGTTGTTGTCGCCATTGCTCGATATTCTGATTCTGCACTAGATCGAGCAACCACATTCTGTTTCTTACTCTTCCACGACACCAAATTACCTCCTACTAAAACACAATATCCGGATGTTGAACGTCTGTCAGAGGGTGATCCTGCCCAATCAGCGTCTGTATATCCAATGATATGCTCATGGCCTTGATCCTCAAAGAGTAGTCCTTTACCGGGAGCTAACTTTATATATCGCAGAATATGAACAACTGCTTCTCAATGACTATCACAAGGGGAAGTCATAAACTGACTTACAACACTCACAGGAAAAGAGATGTCAGGTCTAGTCACTGTGAGATAATTCAACTTTCCAACAAGTCGTCTATACCTTTCAGGATTACTAAGTGGCTCCCCCTGTCCTGGAAAGAGTTTAACATTCGGATCCATAGGAGTGTCAACAGGTCTACATCCCATCATTCCTGTCTCCTCAAGAATGTCTAAGGCATACTTGCGTTGAGAAATAACAATACCTGATCTAGACTGAGCAACCTCAATACCTAGAAAATACTTCAATCTGCCAAGGTCTTTAGTTTGGAAGTGCTTAAAGAGATGTTGCTTCAAATCGGTGATACCATCTTGATCATTACCGGTGATAACAATATCATCAACGTAAACAACCAAATAGATACATCGACTGTTAAATTAGGTCTTAGGCCTAACTCACACCCCAAAAGCTAGCTCAAAGGGAGGAGGATTGCCCAAGCCTTATAAGGAGTCCACCTATCTCATGAACCACCGATGTGGGACTTTTGTCATTCTTTAACACCCCACCTCACGCCCAGTGCTTAGTATCTAGTGCGTGGGCAATTTTGATTTTGGGGGCCCCAACATCGGGTGAGACGGGTCCTGCTCTGATACCATGTGAGAAATATATACGAAAAATATTATTGAATTGTGTATCTAAATAGTTACATTGAGACCCTATTTATAGACACTACATTGGAATCCTTTTCCAACTAGGATTCCTATTCTTATTCCTATTCCTATTCCTATTCCTATTTCTATTCTAAGTAGGAAATACTTATTTCTATTCTAACAGTATCTATGCCATTATGGATATCGAACCTTTCAAACCTAGAGGTATTGCTTGTAATAACAGTAGGCAGTGGCACAATTTTACCGATGACCATCTGGAATATGCCAAGGCTAAAGCATGTACATGTTGAACCTGTTGCATCTTTTGATGGAACGCATTCCTCAGACATCGACAGACATAGAGACCTTGGCCACAGTGTCTCTCACTAATGAGCTAGTAGACTAAATGGTCAAGAAGGCAAGCAGACTGCGAAAACTCAAATGCCACTGTAAAGAGCCTCTCAAACTCAAATTAAATGCTCTTCAACTTGAAACACTCAGTGTAAACGGTAAGATTTTGAATTTCACCTTGCCCGCGACACTAACAAAGCTAACTCTATCAGATGTTTTGTTGCCACAAAGTGAACTGTCTAATATCGGAAGATTACCAAATTTAGTGGTTCTCAAGTTGGAACATAGAGCATTTCAACAGGAAAAATGGGACATTGAAGATGAAGAGTTTCTGACCCTCAAGGTTCTTAAATTGAGATCCCTTAAAATAACAACATGGAATGCCTCAGATGAGTCCTTACCCAATCTCGAACACCTTCTTGTAGAAAACTGCTTTAATCTTCAAGAAATTCCTTCTATGGTTGGAGATATTCTTACTCTAAAGATGGTTGAAGTGAAACGATGTGGCGAGTCTCTTGAAAAATCAGTCAAGGACATTCAAGAAGTGCAAGAAGGATATGGAAATGCAGAGCTCAAGGTCCTTATTTACCCCTTGCATATAAAAAACTGCAACACTGGTTTAACAGGTAACTGACTCAAGATTAATTGCATCATATTTTGAGCTTGTACACTTTTACCTGTTAAATCTTTCGTAAAATATATTTGAGAAGTGTTTCTTTGCTGTGCAGAAATAGAAGATTGCGATTGAAAGAGGGGATCTAATGGACCAGTTTTTCTCTTAAGTTGTTTCCTTTGTTAATTATGCATAATCATATCCAGCTAGATGGATAATTTTCTTGTTTTTGAGTTTTGTGTTCAAAAAAAAATTCAATGGATCCATTGCATTGACATATGAACTTTATTATATGATATTCTGTATGCTTTTACATTAACACCTTGTTTGGATGGTAGTTACCCATTATATTGTATAGTTAGTTTAAATACAATACTTGTTTGGATTGTTACTTAAATTTTATTGTATTGTATCGTTTAAATCCATTGTTAGGTAACGACAAAAATTTCAGTGTGATCGCATCATTACCTTAATATTTTCTTATCATTTTGTCTTTACTTATTATTTTATAATTCAATTTTAACCTTTACCCTACCTTTTCATAGTATCTCTACCCAAAACGTACTTTTCTTATTGATTTATCAATCAAATTGTTGATGTGTGATATTTATATAACGATGGGGAACGGTATAATCTATCCAAACATAGTATACATTAAAGTAATACAATATGGCACAATACAATATAATATATTACAATACAATACAATATGAAACAATACCCACCATTTTCACCTCATTGCTCTCCTCATCTCCACTCATCTCTGTCCACCACCAACTCCATGTCTTCTTCTGGATCTACAAATATACCCACCATTTTCACCATCAGCAAAACAGAAATCGGCAAAAAAAAGAAGGTAAAATTGTAAGAACAATAACAAAACAATTTCTTAGTTGATAACATGTTCTTGAAGCTCTAAAAGCTCTCCCGGTGCACGGCTACTAACGTGCGCTAGCCATGGGCAGGAAGCTAAAGAGCACAAACCTAGCTGAAGCAAGCACACTAGGAAGTACACAGAAGAACACGCAACCTGGTAATGGGGGACCGGCGCAGCTTAGGGCTTAAGAAGCAATCGAAACAGTGCAGGAACACCAGTTGAGGGATGAAAGTACGAAGGGAATGGGCACTCCAGCGAAGGAGAGAGTTCAACAATGGACAGAGGTTGTATCTGGAAGGAGCTCACGCATCTCATGGGCAGACAAAGTTAAGCAAGAGGTGAATTCCAATGCAATTGATCAAGGTAAGGGCACACCTATGAAGGGCAAATCAATTTGGGAGAACTTTGACATCTCAAAAATTGCTAATGCAGGGTTCAAATTGGAGTAAGTGAATCCTGAATGTTGTGACAACAAATTAATTGGTGAAATTGATTTGGGGGATATTAGCTCTAAGATAGAGTATTGGCAAAATGCTATTGTTTGCTATTTGTTGGGTGCACACCCACCATTTACAGTACTTAATAGATTTATCCAAAGAGTGTGGGGTAAATATGGAATCAACGAAGTGGCAATGATGAGGAATGGGATTGTCATGGTGAGGTTTAATAGTGAGGAAGGAAAATTGGAGGTGTTACAGGGAGGTATCTATCATTTTGATAACAAGCCGTTGATAGTTAAAGCTTGGACTCCAGAAATGGAGTTTTCTAAAGAGGAACTACTGACCATACCAATATGGATCAAACTGCCAGGATTAGATTTCAAATATTGGAGTGCAAGGGGTTTGAGTAAGATAGGTAGTCTAGTAGGTAAACCGTTGATGGTTGACAAACAGACTGAAAAGAAATTGGGATTAAGCTATGCTCGACTGTTGGTTGAGGTTAATGTGGGTAAGACACTACTTGAAGAGGTGTTGTTTAGAAATGAAAAGGGTGTGGTAATTACACAATCAGTGACATATGACTGGAGGCCATCTTTATGTGACCATTGTCATAAATATGGTCATGATAAAGATAATTGTAGGAAATTACATCCAACCCAACAGCATGTGGATGAAACGAAGGAAACCAAGGAGGAGGACAAGATGCAGACTAATGCGCGATTTGATAAGGGGAAGGAGAAAGTGCAGGAGATTCGAAAGTATGGTGGCAATACTAGGAGGTATCAGTAGGGAAGAAAAACGATCGAGACTCAGCATGTCAGTGCAACAAATGCTTTCAAACCTCTTACTATACGAGATGAGCCTGAGCAAGTTTCTAATGAGGGAAAGGATGGTAACATTGTCCAAACCCCTCTGGGGAATGGTTACTCTCCTTTGTTGGAATGTTCGAGGCCTAAATGGCCTCAATAAGCAGAGGGAAGTGATGTACCTCTGTAAACAGCTTGATGTTTGGGCTTCTCGAGACCAAGATTAAACATAAACGTATTAATAGGGTTGCAGTATCAATGTTTGGAATGACAAAGGAACTACAAATGGAGTGTTCTCTAAAATAGATTGGTCTTTTATAAATGGAGTATGGGTAGATGAAATGTTTGACTGTCGAACAACATTCATGAATGAAGGGGTAAGCGATCATAGTCCAATACATGTTAGAGGTGGGGGCAGAGTGGTAAGACAAAGAGCAGCATTTAAGTATTGCAATATGTGGAGCTCTCAAGATCAATTTAAGGGTATAGTTCAGAAGTGTGGCAAAGACAAGTCCCTAGGTGCCTGATGTATCAACTAATGCAGAAATTGAAGATGCTGAAAACTGAGATACGGAAGCTACATACTCAACATTTTGTAAATTTGTTGGATGAGGTTAATAAGCTTAGAGGGAAGTTGCAGGTGGCACAGGATCAGTTACAAGCAGACCCTCCAATAGGCTAAAACAACATGAGGAATTAGAAATTGGTAGGGAATTTAAAAGGATGAGCTACTTGGCAGAAATGATGTTGATTCAGAGAAGCAAAGCAACTTGGCTGAGACTAGGGGATGATAATACTCAATATTTCCATTCCATTCTCAAACAGAAAAGGCTTCAACAAACTATTACTCAGTTGCAAGATGAGAACATGCAGATGCAAACTCATCCTAAACAATGTTGTTATAATTGTCAGGTATTTCTCTCAACTATTAGGGGAAAAGGAGTTTGGACAACGACAAAAGGCTGAAGAGGTGTTCTTAAAGAACGGAAATCAGTTATTTGTGTATCAACAAGTGCAACTACTTGAACCGTTTACCAGGAAGGAGGTGAAAGAGGCAGTATTTAGCATCAAAATAACAAAAAGTGCATGACCTAATTGTTATAGTAGTGGGTTCTTTAGAGATGTCTGGGATATAATAGGGGAGGATGTTATTAATGTTGTGCTGGAGTTCATGAAAACTGGGAAGTTGTTAGGACCGGTTAATGCAACTGTAATAATCTTGATTCCTAAAGTCAAAAGACCTGATTCAGCTAGTCAGTATATATAGACCAATTTCCTGCTGCAATGTGATATACAAAGTGATTTCCAAGTTGTTATGTAGCAGACTGAAGAAGGTGTTGCCATATTTGGTAAACCAAACTCCAGCAGCGTTTGTAAAAGGGAGTTCTCTAGTACACAATGTCCTTATATGTCATGATCGATTGAGACACTACAAGCGGAAAACTACACCAATGTGTATGATGAAAATAGACTTAAGGAAAGCCTATGACATGGTGAGTTGGGAATTCATGAAGGAAATGCTACATGGTTATGGTTTCCCACAAAAATTCTTCCACTTGATTATGGTGTGTATAACATCAACAAAGTTTTCAGTCAGAGTTAATGGAAACAATTATGGCTACTTTGAAGGGAAAAGGGGCTTGAGATAGGGGGACCCATTATCACCTTTATTCTTTGTACTTGTAATGGAGTACTTAACTAGAGTCTTGGCAAAAATGGGACAACCTCCAGACTTCAGAATCCATCCAATGTGTAAAAATCAGGCTCTCAATCACCTCATATTTGCTGATAATCTGATGATATTTAGTAAAGGGCATGAGGAGTCAATGCAAACGATTGTAGAAGCTTTAAATCACTTCTCCAAAGTAACAGGACTAGTAGCCAATACAGATAAGTCTAGTATTTTTATAGCTAGGGTATCCGATGTTGTCAAAGAAAGACTGTTAGAAATGACTAGCTATGTTGAAGGTGAGTTTCCTATCAGATATCTAGGACTCCAACTGTCCCCAAAGAAATGGTCCAAAATAGAGTGCAACAAGCTATGCCAAAAGATCATCGAAAGAATCATATCAGTATCAAATAGGCACTTATCGTATGCGGGGAAGTTGCAGGTTATTACATCTATCCTATTTTCCATTCATAATTTTTGGGGGGCTGTATTTATTTTGCCTCAGAGTGTAGTTAAAGAGATAGATGGGAAATGTAGGGAGTACCTGTGGGACGGCACTGAAGGAAAGAAGAAAACTTCTCTAGTAGCTTGGGATAATATTTGTAGGCCTAAACAACAAGGAGGCTCAAGTATCAAAAGCTGTAAGCACTGGAATGTGGCATCAGTTGGAAAACATATTTGGTTACTAATGGAGAAAAAAAGATATTTTGTGGGTAAAATGGGTGAATGAATTATATATGAAACATGATTGTGATTTTTGGACAAGTAAACCCCCTGGGGATTGCAGCTGGTACTGGAAAACATAACATAAAATGAAGTTGAAGATGAGAGCATGGTATAACAATGATCACTATTATTTAACAGGTAATGGTGAGTATTCAGTGTCTTTGGGATATGACAGTCTAATAGGCAGTGTACCGAAATTGGAGATAGCTACTCTAATATGGAATAGAATCACAGTACCTAAACATCAATCTATCAATTGACTTGTTGTTTGGGGTAGACTACTTACGAAAGATAAAATACAAAAGATAGGTTTCGGGACAGGAGATACTGATTCCAATCTATGTAACAGTGCAGCACTGGAAGATGATGAGCATTTATTTGGTCAATGCCCATGGAGTAAAGAGGTATGGTTGGGGATAAGCTTACCATGTAAAGGGGTTAAGGATATACATCAAGAATAAGCACTGGAATAGAGGGAGAAAAGTAGTGGTTGCTGCTACATATGAAGTTGTAATCTACTACACATGGCTGACTCGAAACCAAGTGATCTTCATGAAAGCAAAAAGCTAATAGTAGGTTTGTAATCCAGTAGATAAAACATATCATCAGGGAGAGTTCACATTTTACAGCCAAAAAAAAAACCTTTACCAAAATGGACAGGAAGATTTATTTTCCCCTGTACTGGAAAATTTTGCTGTGTGATCGTTTCTTCTAATGAACCACCAGCTACTGTCAGATATTCCAATCTCTGCCATTTGAAGCAGAACCGGACTGGCAATTACGATTCTGACGAGAGCTTCTTCGGAGAAAGACGATGATAAACCCCGCAGTTGAAACTGACAGAAAGTGGTATTAAAAATTGGGGAAAAGGGAATTTGATGGCTGCTTAGTGGTTTGTTCACCGGAGATGGAACGAAAATGGATAATTGGCGGTGGGACTATGGTGGAGATGAGGGAATCCGTGGTGGTTTGTTTTTAGGTTGTTAGGAGGTACCGGTGGTTCGGCGGTGATGTGATTCGGTTTGGTTCGGTTCGATTCGATATGAATTAGGGTCTAAATTATCAATCACATAAACTAATTTAAATAATATTGAAATGTCTGAAATTAACATGAGTAATATTTTTATATATTTATATTAAAATATTTTAATTATATATTTATTGCATATATATATATATATATATAATACCAAATCAAAATGAATTATATAATTGTTATATACTTTTTTTTTATTAATGATGTTAAAAATGTATTATACATTAATTTCAAGTATTCAAATATTATTTAAATTAGTGTATGTATTCTTATATCAAAATTGTGTTGAAAATGTGTTATATATATAGAGTGAGAGCGCTATTTTTAATAAGAAATTAAGGTTAACTTGTGTAAAAATAAATATTGTATTACAACTTTTGAGTAAAACATGTGTTATAACTCATAAATAAAGTTTTATAATATATTATTTAAATAAATTAGCCTTGAGAGATCCTACCTACATTTTATATATTTCTATTTCTATTATATAGAAAGATGAAGCCAACCAGACGACCAAGGGTAGTTTTGTCAAACAAAAAATATTTCAAGCTTAGTTTAAGTGTACATTGTGCATAAAGTATTAAAATTTCCAAAAAAAACCAACCAAAATTTATGTAATTCCCAATGAATCCATCACTAAGTCAATAGTTGTGGATTTTAATGGGCACACGTGTACCAATACATTGGGAGGAGTAAAAGAAATCATTGCAAAATTACATGGACCCCATTTATTGATTTACTTCAAAACCATGTACATTCAAGCTGATAAATTTTTTTAAAAATTCTTTTTTATTTTTGAATGTATAATTTTTAATGAGATTTTTTCATACCAAAAATTCAAATTTGAGGGCATTTAATCATTTCCTTTCTTAGTGTGGTTTGATCATGAAAAAATACTGTTTATTTTATTTAAAAAATTTATAGTTGAAGTCATGTTTGGTTAAATTTTATGCAAAAAATATTTAGAATTTAAATATACTTTTTCTAAAGGCATAATATATAAATATGTCATTTAATTTGTTTCATCTAACATGTCCTTCAATTTTAGATATCCATAAGTAGACACATAAACTTGTATAGAATTGAACAAGTTGACACTTGTGTCCTACTTGACGTCCTATGTATAATTCACGTCCTATGCGATATTTTATGTGGCTCCCACGTGTGTTATTCCCCGTAGGACGCGTGTGTCTACTTCTTCAACTTTATAAAATTTTAAGTGCTTACTTGTGCACTCCCTAAGTAGAATGTCATAGATGTCAGACGAAGTCAAGTTAAAAGATATATTTATATATTATGTTTTTCTAAATATGGTTTATATTCCTCAGTTTCTAAAAATTACTTGACTAATATACCTGAGATGTACAACCAAATTGCAATAAAAAAAAGTAATATCTCAAAATACATAGTTGTATAATGTCATAGATTAGATCTCATATAGTTAGGGGCTGTTTGGTTATTGGTTAGACTTACGCAGTTTTTAGTAATGCATGGTTTAGTTATGTAGGATTTAGTTATGTGGTATTAATTATGTTGGTGTTAATTATGCAAATATTAATTATGTAGGTATTACTTAGTTATGTAGAGATTACAATACATAAATTATTAATTATTGAATATATTATTTACAAATAAATAAGCAAGCAAATAGTATAATTTCCAAAAAAAAATAAAAATAGAAAGAAATCTTCTCTATACTTAAGTGGGAATTCTATTTATTTTTTCTCTCTCTATTTTTTTTTTAATGTTTAAAGCTTATAAAAATAAAATACCATAAATATATTTCAAGTACATTATAAAATCCTATTTTATATAATGTAAATTTCTATCAAGATGCTGCATGTATTGTTTGTACATTTTTAGTATACCAAATATATGAGTTATATATAAATTTATATTCCAAATAAAAAAACAATACATAATAATTAAATATGTGGAATATATTTAGTAATATATGGTGATAATATATGATTAGCATATGCGTTGTCAAAGTTATACATTCCGATTCATCATATTAATAAAATATTTATATTTTGATTTCAAATGAAAACAAATAAAAAATTGTTCGTATACAAAAGAAATAAGACACAAAAATAGCTAGGAAAATAGAATAGTTATGTAAAGTTTTTTCTAGAGTTTTCAATATAAAAAGGTAATAGGGATAAATGTGTAGTTTTTTTAATACATGTATAACTAATACCCTCATAACTTATTCCATCTTTTATCATGCATAATTTATACATAGATTCCCTCATAAGTTATGTAGGTATCAATTATGTAGGATTACAAAAAATGTAACCATACACCGTATAGAATTAATACAAGAATGAAACGTATCAACCAAACATGGTAAGTCATGTTGGCTTTTCTACCTAATACAAAATTTCTACCAAATATAGTAAAACAGATACAACTTTTTATATATGAGAAAAAAATGCATCTTATACGGTAACCAAACGGCCCCTTAAAATATTAACAAGGTTTTGAATGTTTTTCAAATTTCAAATACAACTTTAAGTTATATTTGTAATTTTCATAATCAGATGTTGATTTTCAAATAAAGTGAAATAAAAAGATTATCTATTTCTTTGTGTTAATTTATTTTTCATATCTATTAAAAATAAATAATTAAAAATAATTTTATTATCTTAAAATAAGATATAATTTTATTTTATTTTTCATGTTTATACTACTCTAAATGTGAAAAGAATATCATCAAATTAACTGTTTAATTATGTTTGACATTATGTTAAAATAACCATTGGTGCATATTATATTGTATTGTTAATTAAGACAATTTAAATAAGTTACAAGTTATGATTTGATAAAAATATATGTTTATATATATATATATATAATTAACTGTTTAATTATGTTTGACATTATGTTAAAATAACCATTGGTGCATATTATATTGTATTGTTAATTAAGACAATTTAAATAAGTTACAAGTTATGATTTGATAAAAATATATGTTTATATATATATATATATATATAAATTATTATTATTATTGTTATTAATATAAAGTGTGATTTTATTATCATTTACTCTCGTTTTTATTAGAAAATATTAATGATAATTTTTCTTTTCAAAAAATTAATTAAATACCTCTTAAATTTGTAATATTGGGCCCGTTAACGGGCCCTTTCATATCTAGTATTACTATATATTAGAAGAGTCTAGGATTTACTACCAAAAGTGGGCCCCATCTCCTTCCACTTAAATAATATTTTTCAACCTTATCATGGTAAAAGTTGAATTTATTATCCTTTTCATTTAATTTTATATGATATTATTTTTTCTATAAAATCATTATATATGTTTTAATAATTTAAATTTCAAAAACATTATAATTTAACTTTAAAGATTTTATTTTATCAAAATCTTGTGCATTGAAATATATAGTTATGAATTTAAAATATTTTTAAAATCATATAAAAATTTCAATAACTTCTCAAATTCCATAATATAACACTTAAATACTACATATTATATATTAATTATACTATACTATAAATGACTTAAATACTCCATATTATCTATTACAATAATTAACAATTATTTGACACTTTAAATTCTATCAATGCCATATAAATTAGGATAAAAAACCTAACATATAATATTTAAATATATTTAAAAATACTATAAGTAATACTATACATTACAATAATTAACAACTTAATTATTTAAAACTTATATACAAAATTTAATTGACTCTCTAAATTCTATTGGTACCACATAAAATGGATTATATGATAAACATATATTGTTTGAAATTGACGAAAAAGAAACAATAAATTACAATAATTAATAAAAAAAATAGTCGACGAAATTGACGAAAAACAAATTATAAATTACAATAATTAACAAAATAAATCTCTCAACTCCAACAAATCTATCAATTAATGCCACATAAATTGGGACATGGCAAATAACATATATTATTAAAAAATTAGGTTCAAAATGTACTATAAAATACAATAATTAACAACTTAATATATTAAAGAGACATATAAAAAAGGGTTAATATTTGAAATTCTGCATGTGCCACATAAATTAGAACAAATAGATTAATAAATATTATTTTCAAAATTATGTTAAAAAAAGTACTACAAATCACAATAGCTAACAATTTAAAATATTTTTAAAATCATATAAAAATTTCAATAACTTCTCAAATTCCATAATATGACATAAATTTAAAAAAAAAGTGTTATAAATCATAATAAATTGTACAATATTTTAACTACTTTAAAAGTATTATAAATTGTAATAAATAATACAACAATTTAAATTACTTATTACTTAAAATTTAACGACTTCAAAATATTTTTTTAAATGTATTAAAATTTTGGTTAATTGTCAAAACTATACATGTGCCACATAAATTGGGACATGGAGAGTCACACATATTTTTTAAAAAAAATTACATTAAAAGTATTCTATCAATTAACAACATATATTGTTTGAAATTGACGGAAAAAAAATAATATAAATTACAATAATTAACAAAATAAATCTCTCGACTCCAACAAATCTATCAATTAATGTCACATAAATTGGGACATGGCAAATAACATATATTATTAAAAATTTAGGTTCAAAATATACAATAAAATACAATAATTAACAACTTAATATATTAAAGAGACATATAAAAAATGCTTAATATTTTAAATTCTGCGTGTGCCACATAAATTAGAACAAACAGAGTAATAAATATTTTTTTCTAAATTATGTTAAAAAAAAGTACTACAAATCACAATAGCTAAAAATTTA